CTCAATTCGAAAAAGAATAAGTTTTTAAATTTAAAATTTGAAATACATTTTTAATAATTCTTAAAGCGCATTTTTGCATTGTAAATAAAAACATGGAAAAAAATTTTACTGAACGAAAAAAAATTCAACAACCAAACTTTTCAGAAATTTTTTATTGTAACTCATGTGGGGAAATGAAGGAATCATTCAATTTTTCTAGTCATTAAAGTAGTTGTCAAACTGAGTATTGAAATTCTATGCTTAATTGAAAGTCTTCTTTTAAATCCCAAAATTTCTCGGATCGTAAAGCCACAAGGAATCTTAGGATTCGAACCAACAATTTTGCGAGAATTCCAACTCATCCCACTTTTGAACTTGTGGGGGTTAAAATTATTCAAGCTATATTTTGATAAGGTTGTAAGGATAGCTAGGATTTATTATAATCCCTTTATGACCTCAAATAACCACAAAAAATCAATCTCATAAATTTAAAAACCTCTTAAATCCCCGTAGACTTAAATATTAAAAAAACTTCTTTTGGCTCTTAAAAATATCCATAAAAACCTCATAACCATTAATTCACTTAATCCAATGAGCAATCAATAAAATCGTTAAAAAAATAATTGCATCAATTTTTCTTCCTTTCAAGAATTCAATCTGCAGAAAAATAAGAAAAAAACATTAAATTCATTTTTTATAGCTGTTAGTTGAAAAATGCTTCATTGACGCTTAATAAGATTAACTTGATAAATTTGATTGTATTTATGTAAGCAGAATAATAGTCAAGGATTTTTTGAGAAGAAAAGAAAAATGATTTTAAAGATGATGTCAACGGATTAAGAAGGAATTGAGGCTGGTTTTGGTATTGGATGAAGGATTGGATGTTGTATGATGATCAGTATCTGTAAGTTCGTTGGGAATAGTTTGAAGGAGAGTGCTTGGTATGTTCTAGAGCTAAGATGACCAACCCATGTGCCGCGGCACACTAGGGTGTCTTAAAAAAATTTGGGATGTCTAACGAACCATGTGCTGTGTGCGGTTTTGTTCATGGCTTACTACCTTGTGTTCCGTCGCACAAAAAGGTTAGACACCACTGTTCTATAGGATGCCCAAACAAACCTAAATGTGTTGCTCACAATAGTATGTCTTACAACCTTCCCAAAATCTTTCAGTCCTAGAATTTTAACTCAAACTAGGATTCGAACTTGCATAAGATAATTTTCTTCGAATGAGATAATCTCAACAGGTTACTTCTCCTCAATCAACCTTTTAGTTTTCCCGCCAAAAACCCAAAGATAAGCCTAAACTTTCATTACCAGCTAATCCCCAACAAAGAGACTTAATTGTAAAACTTCACATATTAATTGCCTTCTTTTAAACAAAACACAAACGAATACAAAAGAAATCGAAAGCAATTCAAGATCGAATAAACATTAAAGTCCATAAATGGTAATGAAGTTGAATTATTCGAGCAACAATAAAACCAGCGCGCAACATAAAACGCACATGAAAAGCCGATCATGTAACCTTGAACTCTGTCAATCAATCAATCAGGTTGAGTTGAGTTGCTATTAAGTTTGCATTAATCTCGCATATATGAGGGCAATTGAGGATATAAATTGAATAATTCGAGAGCTTCGTTGGTGTGTAAAAAGTCATTAACTTAAGAAGCTCCAATCGAGTCCAACGCATATGTATGAAAGAAAAAAATGGAAATTTTTCATAATTGAATGCATTTATTGAACCTCTTTTAACTTCAATTTCATGTCCAACGAGAGAGTAAAATTGATTCAATAATGATTATCGCATGTCATGTCGTTGTTTATCCACCACACACATGAGTATTCATTTCTTGATTGTGAATTAATGTACAATGAGTGAAATGCGATATTTTTTTTATTGATGCCCTCGAATTTTTTTTTACTTCTTATTTCTGTACTTACTTTCACAACTTTATGTCATACTTGATAAGATAGACTATTTTTTTGGTCATTACTGTTCATTGCTGTTGTTACGGACTCATTGGTCGAGGATATGAGTTTAATGAATTTATTTAATCAGTTGTCAGGAATCAATAATATTAACATTATATTGAGGGCATAAAGAAGATAATTTAATTTTTATTGGGTTTTTATGAAGGGAATGTTGACAGGCTGTCAGCTGGAGATTTGAATTTTTTGAGTTAATTAAGTTTTGTGGGGCAATTAAAGAGATATTGATTGGATTATTAAAGTTAAATCACTTCATCCAGTATGGCACATTTTATAGTGAAAGCGAAAGATCCGGTATGGATCATGTCAAGAGTAGGTTAGCTTGGTGCTGAATTCAGATATCACGATAGACTTACACTTACTTACTTACTTACTTCGATGGTCGTACAGATCAATTGTAATCCATGACCAATTTCCAATACCAAGTGCTATACTGTTTCTATATCAATAGCTTCCTTCCTAGCATAAGATTCACACTTATGTTGTTTTATTGAAGCATGAAGAATCAAACTTCTAGATGGCAAAACCATAGAAACTCGAATCCAAGTTCTTCCGATTTTCGGTCGTATGTTCTTACTGCTGAGCTATCGGAGGTTAGATAAATAAATGGCTAAATCCCATATATAAGTTATACTCTTTTTACTATTCCTTTGCACTTACATGATTTATCGATGACTAGCTATTACATGGAATCGCTTATTCCAACATGTTTGCCCTTGTTCTAATCTAGTACGATGTCTTTGGGAAGCTACAAATTATAAGAATCTTTCTGATAAGACTCGAACCCAAGATCACTGCGTGACAAGCAGCAATTGACAAGACCCAAAGAGCTACAAGACTATCTCACCAAGACCACCAATCTCATCTCAACAAAGCGTGCATAACTATGTATAATAATCACCATAACCATCCCATACCTAAATACTACCTTTCGAATTTCCATTTTCATGCTCACTATCACTTCCCTTTAATGATACTCATCACAATGCGCACAAACATGTCATTAACTTAACCTTAAAATGATTTTAATTAACAATCATATTCATTCCGTTAAAGTGAAGAAATGAGGAACTTAAAATGTAATAAAAAAAAGAATCGAGGTACGGCTTTCTTAAAATGCATGAAATTGAAAAAAAAAATCATCGACTCATCAATAAAAATTAAAATCAATTTTTTTTGGACATTAAATGCGGAAGACGAGACTTTTGCGGCACTTTATGAATGGAAGTGAATTAAGATTATTATTAAAAGATGAGATGATAAAAGTCTCATAAAATTTCCATCAACATAATCATTTGTGCTGTTCATCATGAGACAGACACGAGAGAAGAAAAAAAAAGTGAAAGATTGAGGACAGTCGTCGTTAAAAGGCAAGTAAAAGTCATCGCGATGAAACAAGAAATTTCCATTTTGATGGTAAAAAAGAAACAAGTCACTTCCATTCATTCATGCTCATTGATATGGAAAAGAAAATTGCAACATGCAAGAGATAAAAAAAATTCATTCATTCACAAAAAAAGAGAAGCCATTCAGACAAGTCTTTCCATTTGTGCCATCGATTCATGTTCTCGATTGACATTTTCAGGTGAAATGATATGAGAATGGGTGCAGATGTTGTTGGATTGGTAGCTGTTTGTGATAGTTTTGAGGATTTTATTGGATTTGGATTTGAAACTATTAATAAGAAGCTTTACTGGCTTTGAAAGCTTTACCTTTGGTCAAACTAGATTGAAAATATTTTCCAGTGTTAAACTAGGTAAAGTAGCCTTAACTAGAGTCAAACTAGGATTTGGAAAACTACAATTTAGATGTTACTAGGTTTTAAAAGCTTTACCAGAGACAAACTAAGGTGGTCAACTTTTAGTTGAGTCAAAACATTTTGAGAAATTCTAATTAAAGTTAAATTAGACTTTGAAGCACTTATTAGAGTCGAATAGGGCTAAGTAGCCGTGATTAAATTCAAACTAGGTTTGCATAAAAGCTAGTAAAGTAAAACTAAGTTTGTTTAAAGCATAGTATGGTCAAACTTTGTCGGATAGTATTTAGTAGGATCAAACTAAGTTTTTATATCACTTCCTGAACTCAAACTACCTTTGATAAATCAAATTTGATTCATACTAGTCTAAGGAACTCTTCTTTTGCTCAATTTAACCATAAGACAGTCAAATCACATCCATAACCTCCTTCATCTTTCTGATAACCTCACCAACAGTCTCTTTATTTATATTCTGCACCTTTTGAATGAAAAGTTGATGTTGCCATAAACTGTAAATTTTTCACTTCATTGCATAACTGAACTTTACGTGATCATACATATATTGATGAACTTTACATTTGTGACTGCTTCTTTTCTTTCCTTTCCATCTCGAGTCTCTCTCTTATTCGTATGAAAAACTTTACATTATCATGATTTATGGTATGTTGGTAATTAAAAATGTTCAGTATGTTATTTATTGCTTGATGAGATGTTGAAAAAGTAAACAACTTTGTTGTCGAATTGAAAGTATTGAGAAATGGAACGAAGTCTTTTATGTGATTTATTGGAAGAGAAAATAAACGAATTTTTTGTAAGAATTTTCATTTCTGAGTCAGTGGGCTTTAATAAATCAATTTGGGGTTTTGTTGATAAATTGAACACAGTTGTTTATGTTGTTGAACAACATGCAAGACATGATGGCTCAATTATCAGTAATTGATAGTGGGAAGTTATGTTTCTCATGTTGTAACTGCAACATTGTTGCTAGAGGAAGGAAGGGATTTGGTGTTGAAAGTTTATTATTAAATTGCTAAGTTGGAAGGAAAGAATTGAGGATTTAATCATGTATTGGTTAGGTTATGGATCCTTTAACGTGCCTTGATGTTGAACCTTGCTATAACTCAAGTTATTCGTCAGAAATTGATCCAAGCGAAGTGATTAAACGATGAGAATAAAGTGTTACTTTCAAAACTCATACTGCTAATGTTAAGCTGCACCTCTACTCATTAGGGACACAAAATCTTTATTTTATCAAAGCTAGAAAAGTTGAAAATTCACAAAAAATTCCCATTCAAGTAAATCTGATTATCTTCCACAAAATCTCTCGATGGCTTGTCATCAACAAACTCAAAATCATGTTCATCGTCAAAAAATGGCAAATCAAACCACTGCCAAACCCGTGGCTGCTTTACATCAATCATGTACTTAATGCAACGTCGAACGAATATTCTAAAACAAAAAATAAACAAAATTTTACTCAAAATGTCCAAATAAGCATCTAATGTCATGTCTACTTATTGTGGATCTCATTGCAGTCAACGATGGGATGTTGCTCTTTATAGCATCGATCACGTAAATTGAAATAGAAATTTCCGATGTAATTACCACGACGAGAATTGACAGCTCGAAGACACTGCTTGAATTCTTTGTCACAAAGACAGTGGAGACGTGTAAAGTAGTCATCATTTTTAAGGCCGTACTTCTCCTCACCGGATGCAATGTTATCACAGTGATCATGTGCTCGGCAACATTTATCGACATCTGGCTCGCTTCCTAGATCTTCAAAGTCATTTGCTGTATTTCCTGGGCCGCACCTTTAATTTCTTCTTTTTATTTTTTCTGTGGCTTTATATTTTTTTTTTAATCTCACCATTTCGTTCCTGGAAAACTCAAATTTATTCGTTCTTCAGCTGCTCGATTTCTCTCAATTTTATTCTTTGAACTTCCTTCCATCTCATCATTGAAGGTCGTCTCACTCCTAAGGGACTGCTTTTTAGCGACAAAAAATGATTTCTCAAATTCACAAGACACAACAACAATGACAAAAATTGAAATGAACAAAAGTGGAAAGTTTCTCGACATTCTGAAAGTCAACTGAAAGTTTTGACAAAATTTCACTGATATTTATTCTATGCTGCTTATCAGCTAGAACAAAAGAAACGTGAAATGAATTTGTTTTTGGAATAATGAAAGTATTTCAAGCTGTGAGCGTTACTGTAAAGTATGAAAAGTGCAGTAAATGAATAATTAATTTGAGAATGAAGTTTTGGTCTAGAAATTTTGGATTTTTAGAAGGCAAGGGATGGACACTTTTTCATAATTTATAGTATCAAGTTGTTATTGCATCTCTACCAAGTCCCTCATGAAAAGTTAAATTTCAAATCCAAAAGCCTGAAGAGCTTCATTTTTTCCCGTCTCTAAATTCAATACTATGACTTTGCTACTAATGAAACAATATTGCTTATTAAGCCATAAACAAACATGAAAGTGCCATCTAAATTGATTATAAGATCTGCCACTATAAAAATGTCCAAAGCTTGCCTTCTAGCTACAAATTAAATGTAATTAAATTTCACAAAAAAAACAGTTTTTTTTATTTAACAAAAACAAATGACAGGAAATTAAAAATAAATTAAATTAAAGTCTACATAAGATCAATCAAAAATAAATAAAAAATTATGCTATGTGCAATGTTTAACAAATTGTAATTTTGGGGGGAAAGTTTTGTCAGAACTGATTTTATTATAAATATTCAAAAGCTTTAAAAATTTAAAAAATATTTTTTAAAAACATTAAGTTTCAAAATTTCAAAAAATTCAAAAGTATAAATTTCTTTCGAAGATTTCAAAAATTTAAAACCTTTCAAAAATATTAAAAAGTTTTAAAAATTTCAAAAGTTTAAATTTCTTTGGAAGATTTCAAAAATTTAAAACCTTTCAAAAATATTAAAAAGTTTTAAAAATTTCAAAATTTTTTTTTGAAGATTTTCAAAAATTTAAAAAAAAAATGTAAAATTTCAAAAGTTTCAATTTTTTTGAAGATTCTCCAAAAATTCAAAAATTTTAAGTTTTCAAAATTACAAAAATGTGAAAAATTAAAAACAAAAATTTTTACCTCATCTGACAAAAAAAAATCCCCTCCAAAAAAGTGATTAATGATAAAAAATTAATAAATTTGTCACATATGCTGTAATGTCAATGGGATGGATGGATTAACAAAAATGATGTCGACCGAAGTTGAAAGTTAACAAAATGATCATCAGATCCATAAAAATGTCTCTATTCATCTTTAACTTTCTCGTAATCGGTGCCGAGCAAAAGATTTCTAACAATAGGATGCTTAAACAATGGAACAGATAACAAAGCACCGCCACATGCACCGATCCAATAAACAATGACATGTTCAATTTCTGTATGACCTGCGCAGCCCCATTTCAAGCTGGTACTAAGGACGGGATTAAAATATCCACCAGAATAATTGAAGGCTTCAAATGAAGAGAATAGAATGATTGAGATGAGAATACTGAGTAACATGAAATACATTATGTGATGTCTGAACATTCTCAGACTGGTCACTTTAAAATTCATTTTTAAGTTTTCATTACCGGCAACGACTAGACTTGTTCCAACAAAACTATCTAAAATGTTTGCATATTTTGGTCCTTTTTCGCTTAATGTTTTTGATGCTAAGCGACATAAAAGTGTCGCAATGCCTTCAATAAATGCACCAGCCAATGGGGATACCTGAAATGATATTTTAACAAAAAAAGAAGAAAAAAAAATTGTCGAAGCAAAAAGTCAGGAAAATAATGAATTGAGGATGGGACATTGAACGGTATTAAGGGATATACTTGCAAGTCAGCAGAACAGTCCTCAAATGCACGTCCACGGTGTGTTTGTGCTAATTCAAGCCACCAAAAAAATTGTACAAATCTCCATACACAGCAGCCTCCCATTAATTGTGCCCATGTTTTAAGAGCGACATCACGTGGTGTCACATTTCCTTCAATCATCTCCTCCATGTGAGTATATGGACATGCTGAGGCATTACCCCATACTTGTGACCACCATACGGTGAGGAGGAACAGGACAATGGCGTATGTTGCGACACCAAAGTTGTCAGCGACTTGAACAAAAATTAAGAAAAAAGTTGATTTTAAATTTTTTTTAAAAAAATAATTGCTTCAAAAGGAGACCATGTAAATATTTTCCGTATATTTCTAGGAATTGAACCTAAGATTTTCGATTGATTTTGAATCATGCTAATTTCTTTCTGTTGATATGATAAGCTTAAACGCTATCATTTTGAAACTTTTTTATAATGTCAAAAATTTAGACTTCAGAACAAGGGCGTAGCCAGAAAATTTTTAAGGGGGCCCATTTTCGAAAATTAAAGAACTTGCAGACATTTATAAATGACACCTGAGTCAATTGCTTCCCAAATAACATTTCTCAAAACCACTCGATTCCCATTTCCTCACCAATAATCAACTCAAAACACGTCGAACACAGCTCAGCAGCTGCAATAGCCTCAAGAAACAATTCTTTAGCCAATCCATGAATTGATGAAACTCGATCGAGAATTTTACGTGCTGTCTGTGCGAGAATGCAGCATAGTACGATAAACGAACAGCTTATAATGAGATCAACGAGCGACATCTGGATGTGAAATTTAAATTTTTTGCTGTGAAATTATTTTTTTCTTCTCAGCTAAAAATAAAAAATTATTAAAAATTAGAATTTTAGAATATTTTGTTGGAAATTGAAGCTGTGCTGCATTTAATTACCTTAAACTGAGATCAAAAATGACTAGAAATTTAAAAATCAGCAAATGTTTACGCAAAAAGATTGCGAAACCCTCGGAAAAATTTCTTTCACTTCCTCACTTTATAATTTTCACGATCTCACTGAAAAATTCACAGAAAAAAAATAATTTCCATCTCGTCACAGATTTGAGATAGAAAAGATCACGGCTAGAGAAAATTTTAATTTTTTTTTGTTTGAGAGAAAATGAAAAAGTTTGAGATATGCACGTGCTTAGTATAAATTCTCATATATTGAGAGTAATTTAATTATTAGAATGATGCATACGGAGAGAATTGGAGCTGACTTTGCATATTGACCATGATGTTCAATTGAATTTTGAACTAGATATGATGAAGTTAGTCGGAATTTGTAGGGCGGAGTAGATGAACTTTTATTTTGTTAAAACTTATTGTTTAGTTTCTTGTAAAATGTTTGGGAATTGTTTTTGATGATTATTAAGAATTGGGAGGAAAACTGAAAAAGATTCAACCATCGAGCATTACCTAATATCTTGTTATCATAAGAAATGAGGGTAAGTGAGCTGGAAGGTAGAATCAGCTTTATACAAAATTAGAAAAGTTCAAAAAAGAAATCTTTGGAGGCTCTATCAAATATTCTATAACTTTTGGGATTCGAACCTTTACTATTATTAATTCATATATTGAATTTTTAAGTTGTATGCAATTAAATAATGAAAATTCTACCATTTAAACCATCTTTAGCGCATTTTTCATAAGAAACATGCTCTTATATGTCCACTTTGGTTGGCTGGCTGGCTGCCACGAGTGCTCGGAACTGGAAGCACTTGGAAATGTTTGGTTTTTTGCATTAAATAGGTGCTGATTTGTTGATTTTAAGGTTTTTTTTTGTTGTTAAAAGTTCCCTTTAGTTTTTTAATTAAATTAATTTTTCTTTCTTTTATCGATGGCATAAACTTATTTACATAACATGAATTTGAATTTAATAAATTCGTTAAATTTTGAGTATCAAAAAATCGTTAAATTTCTTCAAAGTATTTAATCATTTTTTAACAATCAAATATCATGATAAGTAACTTTAAAGTATTGTGGCACAAACCTAATCAACATTTTTACAGATCTTTGCGTGGATGTCGCTTAGTGCAGACGCTTAGTTCGTCTGTACACATCTTTAAAAGCTGCTTCTTTACTAGTTTTAATTAGAAAACATAAAGTCAAATGTGTAGTTGAAGTTGGGAGGGGTCGGGATTAGGAAAGTAAAAGCGTAGCTTATTTAAAAAAATTCATCAAGTTCAATATATTTTTAAAAAATTAAATTTTTTTACACATCTCAAAAACCAAATAATTTAAAACACATTTAAAATCCCCAATTCAAAATCCTTAAAAGTCAATTTTTCCGGCATAAAATATGAGCTCAAATTAACATATGAAGCTAAAAAAAATTTACCACAATCGTGCAAAAATTCTGCATCATAAAATTCGAGCTTCCAATAACTTTACCCAAATCGATTTCTTTCTGACACTAATTGATGCCTACTTTTGCTCTCGTAAATATCATAACGGCTGATCTTTTCACATATGCAGCAAAAAGATCTTAAATATCACACAAGAAAATTGAAATAATAAAAAAAAAAATTAATATTTCTTCATACACACACGAAATGCATGAGAGAATCGCAGTGGAAAAAAGAAGGCTTGCCAAAAGCGCACATTAAAATTATTGTAAAAATGTGATCGCAGGTAAATGGTTATGGCGCAAAACACAGCATGAGATTTTTAATTTTATTAATCTCCTTTTTTTTTTGGAGTGAATTTTTTTAACTTAAATGAATGGCAAAGAAGAGAATGTGAATTTCATTATTGAGGACTGAAATAATTTTAAAATTTGCATTAAGTTCATGTGGAATTTATTTTATGATGTATGAGCTGAATATTTAGCTCGTAATTTTATTTTGTTGGTAATGGTGTGGCAGTTGACACTGAATTGGTTGGATTTATGAGTTTAAATCGGAGATCAAGATGTTATTGCAATGGATTTATATTGAGATACTGAAAAATGGTGTTGTTATTCAATTTTCTAGAGTTATTCTTGACCTAACCTCAAAATTCTAGAACTGATCAACTTCAGAATCTCAATCTTGAATTCCAGAGCTTAACCTTGAACTAAACTCATAAAAATATATCTTAAATCCACATAAACTGCATACTAATGTCAATTTTTAAGATTCTGATACATTTTATTACATTCTTTTATACTTTGGGATAGATTGAAATAATTTTATATCTTGGGGATCGTTCATTTGTGATGTTAATTAAGCAACTCCTGCTAAATAAATTAATAGAGCTGGCTTGTAGGGTGTTGGTTCTCAAACAATCCACCGTGGAGCATAGAAAATCCTAACTGTAGAATGATAAATGGAAGATTTACTGCTTTGCACATTAAAAAGTTCGAGAAACACTATCTTAAGTGCAATATCGGACATAAATGAAATTTGTCAAAGACTAGGATTTGGTACCTCGAATTACCTTAGTGATCAGCCTCAGTAATCAGTTAGAGAAATCTATTTGCTCTAGAAAATCACTCTTAAATCATCAAAACCCTCACCACTTCTAGTTGCAAAGAAACTAACGCTCAGTGTTTCAGAAAATGATAAAACTCCTGATCAACTAAGTCAATTAATCTCATTTCCTGACAGACATCATTAGCAATCAATCCCCTTTTTGTACAGCTATTAATGCTTTATTGTTAACCTGTTAAACATAAAATAGAATTAGAATGGAGGAATAAAAAGTATTTGTAGTACAATTTATTATTTATTTGCTTTTAACAGATATTCTGTTATGAAATAAATAGAACAAAGCATGTATTACATTTGAATACACGTAATTGATATATCTTGTCGATTCAATTAATCAAAATACTTCAACATCAATATTACATCGTTATTTATTTGAATAGATTGTTTTACTTTCGAATAGTTGGCATAGGAGAGACGAGTGTGTCTTGGAAATTTGTGAGGTTATAAATAATTTTTGAAACTTATAATAACTTTTTGCAGAGTTTAATTTATAGAAATTTCTATAAAAATATCAGGAATGTCTTTATAAAATATCGGACATAGGTTCATATCCTAAAATATTGAGTAAAGTTTTCTGTAATGTTTTGTCACTTTTTTTTTGTAAATTAAGCTTCAGTAACTTACAACTCAATTCTTTCCATCTTACCTTCATCAACTTATTATCAATCGATCTTACATAATAACATCACTCATCACATGTCATTCCGTAATGAAACGCAAAGTATCTTCAGCATGCAAAGAATTCAAAATAAATTGAAAAATAGCAATAAGACATTAATAATCAACATAGAAACATCGGCATGAAATCCATATTGTGCATTAGACATAAAATATGCAAAAATAAAATCTTAATACTCATTTCTGTTTCTTTTTACAGACACACAAGCGATGGAATGCAGCACATAGCAACAGAAAAGCAACAACGATTCTCTTCCAACTTTTAATTTTAATCAATTTCTTGGTATTTGACGGCGTGAATGCAAAGCTCAATTTGTGTGATGTCGAAACGGGACAGACGAATATTATATTGGATATTGAGGAGAGTCGTGGTGACGGTGAGTAGCTTTGTTTGTTTATTTTTGTGTATTTTGGTTATGGCTGAAAAAATAGCAATTTTGAGGTCCTGTGCTAGACCAACCCCCCTCCTCTGCCTTAATCCTAACCAAGACCAGATTCGAAATATCTGCAATTTATGCTCGCAACGCTGATAGATTTCTCATGAAATATTGAAGTGTTTAAGACATTTTAAAGAGAGTGAAAGAACATAATGTTGATTGCTGAATCTCGACAATTTATTTATGCAATGTTAAATTATGGAAAATTACATAGCCAATGGCGTCTAGTGTGAGTTGAAAAATAGCAGTAAAATTTTCATGAGGCAATAAAATTTCTGCTCTAGCTTTTTTTTTCACTCCTTGATAAATCAAAGTTATTGATAGGAAGTTCAAGCACTTTTTTGTGTTATGCAATTCGAAAATAAGAAATGTCTATAATACAAAATTAGCCCACAACTATGAAAAGTGAGATTATCAACACAAAAAAAAAGCAGTAATGTTATTCATAGAAATGCCTTTTTTTTTCTTCTTCTGTGGCCATTAAAATGTCTAATTTTTAACTTTTTCTGCTTCTTCTCTTTCTTACTGTATACTCTCTTGCCTGCCTGCTTGCACCCTACAGCTGCTGATTTCTTTCACTTCATTGCTGATCGTGTTGAGATTTCCATTAAACACTCTTCGCAAAATAAAATGTTATATTCCTAGGGATGGGTGTCTTTTGGTTTTGTTTGTGCCTCTTAATGCTCAAATTATTTTCGTAAATCTTATATAGTTCAAGTAGCTTTATCCACAGTTAATGAACAGTTGTGAATCAATATTATATTCCTTATATAAAATCATGGAAATTGCCAAGTTCGAATCTCAAAATTGCAACAAGTATTTAAGACTCTTTGTTATTAAATTTATTTTGCAAAACAAACTGACAGATCTCACAAGTGCTGCCTATGACAGGCTCTACCATTTTGTCTGATTCGACAGATCTGCAGCAAATGACTGCCAGTTGACATACCGACATCCAATAACACATCAAAATTCCAAAACCATCATAGCACTTCCATCCCTTGTCTGAATCTAAAACAGCAAAAAAATCCATTTTCCTACACCAACATTAACGATAGACCTTTTGCGTATCAATATCATGAGCAGCAACAAAAAAGTAGTCTTTAAAAAAAAATGCAAATTTTTTCCACAGCTTTTTTCTGTTGCAAGTTATCCCGAAGTGAAAAAAAATTCTATTTTTAATGACTAGACACAAGACAGAGTAAAGCAAGAATGCAAAAAAAAATATTGTAGAACGTTATGGAGTGTTAAGGAAGCTAAACGCGATGATTTATGGTTTTTCACAAGAGCAGAAATTGTTTAAAGTATAAAAAACAAAAACATGCATAAATGAGAAGATAAACAAGTTCAATGGACGAGAAGACGAGAAGGCAGAGCTTAATTTACATAGACAAAATAGACATGAGAGTATGTGAAGATTGACATGACTCAAAAGACGGTTTTTAGATGGAAATTACTTTAATCTAGCTGGTCGGTGTACTGTTATAGTTATTATAAAATCTGACATTTCATGAAATATTTTTTGACATGAAAGAGAAGCGAAAATTTGCAATGCAAAATTGTTTTTTTATTTCTAATCATCAGGCACACCTGAGGCATCAAGTGTGTTTATGATACTTTTGAAATGATGATTTTAAGTTTTATGAATGAATGGATTTAAAGATCGCTGGAGTCTGTTTAATGTAAACGTTTACTAAGTTCGGGAACTTACTCTTCATTATTATCTTCAGAACTTTTTATCAAATCATTGAAACAAAATTCAATCCAACAAACTAGCTAGCAGAAAAAAAAGATTCCAAAGAAATTGCCAACATCAAGCGGTAATTAACGAATTGTTTGCTGTCATGTCTCACCATGCCAATGTCCATATTCATAAATGCTTGCCATATATTTATTAATTTATGTAAACCATTCATAATGTGAATGCAACAACAGAGGAAAAGGAGAAAAAAGAGTCTATAAAATAAATAAAAAAATTGTAAAATGTCGAAAAATTAATTGCTCGAGTCAAGTTATAGATTTCCATTTATGAGAGCTACGGAGTTCGATTTTATTTTTTGCTGTTACCAATGTTTGCTATCTCGTTGTCGTCATTGTCGACGGTATCTGTTGCATAGATATTATGAGAGATGAAATATGTGCCTTGTTAGACATGCGCGAGTAGCTTTTTTTGCTGCTATGGAAAAAAAAAATAAAATCTCGGGAATTTTTTTTTAAAAATTAAAATAAGAAGGAATTTTAAGTTTGTTTGAGTTGATGGAGCTGGAGCGCATTTTCAGGAAGGCTGTAGGTTTAATTTGAGATTTAATGAGATTTGAACTTTATATTAGCAATTTTATTAGTTTTTTTTACAAGTTTTAATGCATTATTAATAAAATATTGCTACAATTATGAGTTCGAATCTCAGAATTTTCAAAAAATTTGAACGGCTTTTTTATTAGTCTTTTTTTTTTTGTCAAATTGTAAAAGCTTCTTATTTTTTTTAACATCAGCAATTTATATAATTTAACATTCCCTCAGCAATAAAATCAAATTCTCAATTCCAATATTTTTGTGTAATATTTACTCGATTAAGTGAAAATGAGCCGACTTAAACACGATTCATTTCACTCTTAATCGTCCACCTTATTACAATTTGCTCACAAAAAAAAAAAAATATTGTGTATATAATATTTTTACTGTCTCTTGTTATTTCCATGTCTTGTGACTGTTTTTTATTTCAACAACAAAAATAAACTATATACAGGCACTGACTGGCGGCAAACAATCCATTAGCCTTAATGGACAGATTAATTATTATTACTGCCTCGAAATTTCCACCAATTAAGTCGTGGCTTCTTAATTGCTGTTGCGTGCCTATGCAAAATTTACTGTCCTTTCTCGATGGCAATGCTGTGGATCTTGTTTGGGTTTATTTGCATTTTTGAGAATATTGTTGGGTTGGATGCAAAAAAATAATTGGATTTAACATTATAAAAAATAATAAAGTTCTATGAAACTTCTTGAGGATTTGAACCTTCAACTTTAAGTCTACAATTTAAATTGTAGAAGCGATGCTCATCTGAATTATTAGAGACTATTTATGTAAGTTTTTGATATTGACAAAATCCCATTATTAAGTCACCAACCCAACTTGAATATTTTTTATGCATACATGACATGAAATGGCATAATGAATGTGAGGATTAAAAGATTGCTGGTGCGTTTATTTATATATTATAAAAGTAGAGAAGAAAATAATACAAGATAAGAGATGTAGATGAGAAGAGTCATTAAGAGATGTCAATAAGAAATAGGCTGTATTATCCTTCACGTGTTGATAAATTGATGTTGAGTGGTCGGCATGAAATGAGTGGATGAAATATGAGATGGCTTTTATGCTTAATTAATTAATTTTATTAATTAATGGTGATTGTAGATTAAATGCTGTGTGGTATTGGGGATCGTATTGTGAGAAATAAAAATATTGAAATACTAGATCAGTGATTCTCAAACTATGTGCCACGAAAAAAAAAATAATTGCTAAAATTGGCCCTTGTTTTATGACTTCATAAAGATCATAAAGAAGCCCGAAAACATCTTGTTACAAAACTTTATATATTAGTTTCTAGGATTCGAACCTCTGCTTGTTTAGCACTCAAACTTGAATTAAATTAAACTTTCCAAAAGTGTGAACTTTAATTCAACAAAAATCACACATAAATCACCACAAAGCAGTCAATAGCTCGTGCAACTTCCATAAAATATACTTTTCAAATTTTCATTTCAATTGTTCAAAAATAAAGCCTAAATTTCCTGCAACATAGCCGATTAAAAATCCAAAAACAGTAAATATTGAGCATTGCACAATTTCCTAATAAGCCTCACCGTCTATTTATATGGATCTTGCGATCTTATGAAATAATAAAGCTACATGTTGAAAAATAAACTTCACTTTCAAATTAAGTCTCAGACTTCAAAGTTTAAGCTCACTAATAAGATCCACAAACAATACACTATGGGCCAGAAATCGAAAACTTTTCCGAAAATTATTTTTTTAGTCTAAATGATAGCTCTTTCATTCCCATTTATGAAAATACTTACAAAAGTGGCCAATTCAGCCTAAGTTCCGAGTTATGGCTTTTCAAATTTTTGATTAAGAGCATTTTCTCGTCCCACAAAAATTGTCACTACTTTTCATTAGATTGATGAAACTCTTTCAATTTTTTTTTATTTGGTAGCTTAAAATAAGAGCTTTATTTTAGGATAGTAAACATTTAATTATGCATCTTTTAACTTTATGAATTTTAAGGTTTTTTCAAAAAAGCACGTGTTCAGTATGATTATGTTCGTCTAGGACTTCACTCTTAAAATAAATGATGCTGAATCTTTTTTTATATTGTAGATATAAACAAGATCTACAACTTTTATTAAAATACTATAAAGTTTTAGTAGAGTTTTGCTGATGAAATTAAGTCTTTTCTTCAAAAAAACTGCAATTTTTTGACATAAATTCCCATAACTTTTCAGGATAGCCCAAAGGAGTGGATTTTTTTTACATGCTTTGAAAGCTCTTTGGATATACTATCAGAATATATAATCAGCTTGAGTTCGGTTACTGAGACAATCTCGAGCAATTTGACTTTGAAGTGTGACCAGAAATACATTTCAAAACATAAAAATTGAAAATAAATTTTGTACGTTTTTCAAAATTTTAGTTTTTTGCTTTAGATCAATAGATCTCATCAAGGCGCATATTTTGAGTATAAATATGTCATAGTTTGAACAATTTTTATACTCAAATTTCAACAAAATCATTTTTATATATTTTTTCAACAAATTTTACTTATTTTTCAATTATTTTAAATCAAAACATATTTTAAATCTTCTGATTTTGATATTTTTTGAAATTTCTATGTTTTTATGTTAAATTGTCACTCCTAGAGCAACAATTCATAAATTTTTTTTACTTTAAGGTAATTTTTTTATAATTTTTTGCAAATTACACTCATTTTTCTTATCTTTTTTTATCAAATTTTATTTTATGATAATTCTAAATATTGAAATTTAATGTAATATGCATAAAAATTCTCTTAAATATTTAAAGATCATATTTTATCCAATTAACGTAGGAATAAAGCTGGAATGAGCAAAGCTTTGATATGTTCCTTTAATCTGAAGGTAATTTTCCTTTCGATTCAGAACATATAAGCATCCAATCATTTATTTTTAATAAATTTCGGTAAACATACTTATTTCCATGCAATTGTAAAGCATAAACTATCACCACGAACTATTAAAATTAAAGACCTATAATGAAAATAGTTTTTAAAAAGGAAAACGCTATCAACCATTTTCCAATCTATCAAATTTATTGCGACAATTTTTATCCAATGTTGAATGGTTCCTTATAGTTTTTTACCATATTTCATTGATTTTTCAAATTTTTGTCTTTGTATATACTTTTTTTACTGATCTGTGGGCGCAACGTGATACATTTCAGATCCGTTCTGACAATTTATCATTATAAGGTAATCTTGTAGCTCTCGTTCCTATTTCTCCCGCTACACTTCAAGTTCCTCATCCGTTCCTTAATCCAAATATCGCATGGCTTGATCTCGTACATTAAGCAGTCGAAGTATCTAAACTTCTGAAAAAGAACAAATTTGGAAATGGCTGGATTGGAACCGACGACCTTCGAGTTACCATACCAAATTTGAGCTAATCGCCTTACTTATTTGACCAGCGAGGCACTTAAACCCTTATACATAGACAAAAATAGATTCAAGAACCATCATTTAGTTTTGATAAATTTCGAAACCATGCAAACTTTTCAAACTTTTGTATATATACTTTATATATTTCATACTGGTAAATTCCAGTCACCATTAGTGAGTCCAGTCAGATTATAAATATTGAGCTTTCAACTTCCGAACCTGAAAGGCAGTTTATGCTTTACAATTGCATGGAAATAAGTATGTTTACCGAAATTTATTAAAAATAAATGATTGGATGCTTATATGTTCTGAATCGAAAGGAAAATTACCTTCAGATTAAAGGAACATATCAAAGCTTTGCTCATTCCAGCTTTATTCCTACGTTAATTGGATAAAATATGATCTTTAAATATTTAAGAGAATTTTTATGCATATTACATTAAATTTCAATATTTAGAATTATCATAAAATAAAATTTGATAAAAAAAGATAAGAAAAATGAGTGTAATTTGCAAAAAATTATAAAAAAATTACCTTAAAGTAAAAAAAATTTATGAATTGTTGCTCTAGGAGTGACAATTTAACATAAAAACATAGAAATTTCAAAAAATATCAAAATCAGAAGATTTAAAATATGTTTTGATTTAAAATAATTGAAAAATAAGTAAAATTTGTTGAAAAAATATATAAAAATGATTTTGTTGAAATTTGAGTATAAAAATTGTTCAAACTATGACATATTTATACTCAAAATATGCGCCTTGATGAGATCTATTGATCTAAAGCAAAAAACTAAAATTTTGAAAAACGTACAAAATTTATTTTCAATTTTTATGTTTTGAAATGTATTTCTGGTCACACTTCAAAGTCAAATTGCTCGAGATTGTCTCAGTAACCGAACTCAAGCTGATTATATATTCTGATAGTATATCCAAAGAGCTTTCAAAGCATGTAAAAAAAATCCACTCCTTTGGGCTATCCTGAAAAGTTATGGGAATTTATGTCAAAAAATTGCAGTTTTTTTGAAGAAAAGACTTAATTTCATCAGCAAAACTCTACTAAAACTTTATAGTATTTTAATAAAAGTTGTAGATCTTGTTTATATCTACAATATAAAAAAAGATTCAGCATCATTTATTTTAAGAGTGAAGTCCTAGACGAACATAATCATACTGAACACGTGCTTTTTTGAAAAAACCTTAAAATTCATAAAGTTAAAAGATGCATAATTAAATGTTTACTATCCTAAAATAAAGCTCTTATTTTAAGCTACCAAATAAAAAAAAATTGAAAGAGTTTCATCAATCTAATGAAAAGTAGTGACAATTTTTGTGGGGCGAGAAAATGCTCTTAATCAAAAATTTGAAAAGCCATAACTCGGAACTTAGGCTGAATTGGCCACTTTTGTAAGTATTTTCATAAATGAGAATGAAAGAGCTATCATTTAGACTAAAAAAATAATTTTCGGAAAAGTTTTCGATTTCTGGCCCATAGTGCAATAGATTCAACCAAAAAAGGATTAAAAATTATTCAACAATCTTTTTTTTCAATTCAAAATCTAAGAATTGCAATTGAATCGAAGACAAATGAATGACAAAAGAAATATAAAGAAAAATATTTATGATGATCTCGACAATAAATTGTAGTTATTCTCTGTTTCGAAGACTGTAAAGCATTATTGATTGTCGATAATTCCTCATCAATTCAATTCACTTATGCGCATAGTTCGATCAACAATACGATCACATACACGTATGTGATCATCATTACATATTTGTCATTGAATGTGTTATAATTTATTCGCATATTAAACAATGACAATAGTCATTTTAATAGTAATAAAAGCGGCAACAAATAAGTTGCGATAATTTACTTTGATGTGTTGTTTGGGATTGGAGTTTGATGGGGATGGGTGTGAGGCAGTTTGTCCTTTATTTGGTTGTTAGATTAATGATACATCGATGATATGTCTTTAGCTTGAGGGAAGGTTTAAGATTTAGTCTAGGGGTACTCTGGGTAAAGGGTTATTTTAGATTTACTTCAGCTATACCCAAGGTGACAACCTAGGGCAAGATTTTAGGCTTCATCCAAGATTATACTCTCGTCACTATCCTTCTAGGACTGATGTGTCAAGTTGGTTCTAGCTTTTTCCTAGTTAACTTCTTAACCATGCTCAACAATGAACCATTGAGACTAAGTTTCTGAAAGAGCTTCTTTAAATCATATTTTCCCAGCATATGCTCTCTAAAACCCATTCTCAACCAAATCTTTTAACTTCTCTAATCCTCGGTAAAGATGAAAATTATGAACAATCGTGATCCATTCACTCACATGAATAAGTGTGCTTATTATTTCAATAATATTTCGCCTTATTGGTGCATAATTGTTTTGCTTTTATTTTTTTCTCAGCCATAATTATAAACATGAATTAATGATAATTTAAGTCAATCTCTAGTCACTACTTAATTCTTTTCACAGTAATTGGACAACAAACAACGCCACCAGAACTGCCAATTTTCGGTGATCCAGAAACTGAGATATCATTAGAATTAGTATTTCAAAAGACTGAGCCAATTTTCTTGCTAAGCGGCAAGACACTGCAACTTTTGAAGCCTCTCGATCGAGATAAGGATAATTTAAGTCACATAGTATTTCAGGTATGTCAATAATCAACTTCCAGTAAGAATAAAACTAATTCAATTTCAATTTCTACAGATATCATGCACAATTCAATCGACACGTCGTAATCGAAACATTCCGATTATCGTTCGTGTATCTGATGTTAATGATAATCCGCCACTTTTTGTAAATACGCCATATGAGACGACAGTACCTGAGGTAAGTACCCACAATGATAATTTTGTTTCGTTCTCTCTGTTTTGTCATTCTTTTTCCATCAATGGAATCAAATCAACGCCTAAATGTCTACGAAAAAAAAAATTCTTTCATGCTCAATTCAATCGCAAATAGCGGACATTGAATATATGAATTAATTAAGTCGATTTGATCGAGATTCTTTAATTCTTTTTGACTTTTGCGAATTCAATTCCCATATGAATAAATAATTATTTTAATATTCGATCGATTGATTGACATGACTATGTAAATCTTACTGTATTTAAAAACTTATGTGTGAGATACAAACAAGTTTAAAGTTTTTCACGCACACGTGTTGTGTTGAAGCTTCGTGCGAGACGTACTCGTTGTTTTCATGTTTAATTGACAGAAATAAATCAATGAGCAAATTATTAATGAAAAACAATTTTATTCAAATTAAGAGGAATGACGGATCAGGCTTTTTATGATGACTGAAAATTTTTGTAATCTTATTCGATTTCCTTGTCATTGAATTTTTAAAATGATTGAGTTATGAGGTCTCTTAATTTTGAAAGGCTTGAAGAATAATTTATTTCTCAAGAATTCAGCTTTTAAAGGTTAAGCTTATCGATGAATTGGCTCACATTAATTAAAATGTACTGAATTATGAGCATAAATTGCATTAAAATATGCTTAATTCAGCTTATAATTGCTTAATTAAGCGCTGAGTTTACTGAACGAATTAAAACAATTGTTGAATGAGTTGATAAATGCTGAAAAGGGCGCTGAATTAATTGAATTGAAATAAATAATTTAAACAAAAAGTTGTGAATTCAGCAAAAAGTTGCTGAATTAAAATAAAAATTTTGAACTCAGCAAAAAGTTGCTGAACTTGCTAATTAAAATAAAAAAATTCTGAACTCAGCAAAAAAATGGTGGATTTGCTGAATAAAAATAAAAAGTTGCGAATTCAGCAAAAAGTTGCTGAATTTGTTGAATTAAAATAAAAAGTTTTCTATTCAGCTAAAAGTTGCTGAATTTAATGCTGTAATAAGAAGAAAAATGCTGAATTGAGCTTATTAAAGCGCTGATTTTTGTGATCACGGTCTTATTGAATTATATTTTGCCTCAGCTTATTCAAAGATAAACCAAATGAGCTCCAAGATGTCTGCAAAATATCAAATCCACAAAAAATTATGCAAAACAAACAACTTATTGCTCTAGATTCGATAATATATTTCCCAAGTCATTAATTAAGTTATCTCATCAACCGATCTAAATCCTAAGAGATCTCAAACATCGATAAATATATCAAATATTGATACAAAAAAAAGTCTTATTTCAATAATTTGCTAAACCACCATTTCGATAACATCCTGTTCATTATTAAATGCTCTATGTTGAAATAAAATTGATTTAATTTAAATAAGAATTATAAAATATTGACAAAAGTCAATCGATATTTATTGAAAAGATGCCAGAAATCCAACAGGAAGTTCCAATTTGCCATTAGAAAAAAAAATCTTGTGAAAATAACAACAGCTCAATAAATATTATAAAACAATTGAATAAGACACATTAGACCTTTTCACACGACGCGAAAATCAATGAAAGGAACGAAATTGAAAACTACTTTCCGTGTAAATTCATATCTCTCTCATATTATATGACTTTTTCAATTAACTAAAAGTGTACAATCGTGTATACATATTTTACTATGGTAAATAAATAAAAATATGAAGGAGAAAAAAATTATTATAGAGAGACAGAAAGAAGGAACGAGATATAGATACATAGATAGATCTTTCAAAGGAATTCAATTTGTAAATGTGGGCTGAGACGCGGAGCAAGAAAAATATAATTTTTTTATTTCTTTTTTTCTGCCATAAGATTAGCTGTAAGTTACATAAAATTAAGTTGCGAATTTAAAAACATTTTGAGGCTTTGGAGCGAATTTTTGTAGAATCAGGTTGGTTTTTAAAGTTTTTTGGATTAAAGTTTTATAATGTTTAGAAGCCTATAGTTTAATCAAGAAATAACAAGTACATAATATGTCATCTTGGTATCAGGAACTTATCTAGACAGTGTAATCTCATCCATTGTGTAAATAATCAAAAAGTCAGACAATTCCAAGGCATAAACAGTTAAGTGTCTTGCTGGTCGAATAGGTAAGGCGCTTGGCTCAAATTTGGGATGGTAACTCGAAGGTCGTCGGTTCGAATCCAGCCATTTCCAAATTTGTTCTTTTTCGGAAGTTTAGATACTTTGACTGCTTAATGTACGAGATCAAGCCATAATTGGGCATTTGGCGACATTGGATTAAGGAACGGGTCAGGAACTTGAAGTGTAGCGGGAGAAATAGGAACGAGAGCTACAAGATTACCCACGAATGGAATATTGTTAGAACGGACCTGAAAAGTATCACGTCACGCCCACAGAAGATCGAAACGAGAGCCTTAGTTTATTTGAAACCTAGATATGAAGATTAGAAGTTTGACCCTACATAATACTAATTCATATGTATACAAATCCAAAAGTGTAAAATGTGAATTATTACCGGACAGTATGTCGTCAATGAATGCAATAAAGTGCAATTAAATATACACTCGGAATTTTTGGGATTAATCCCAAATCTTTTCGAGTGTATACGCCTTGGACAATTCTGAACAAAATTCATCAAATGACCATAAAAGTATGTGTTAATTGTACTAGTTGCAGAGATTGAACTTTAATGTACTCTAGAATCATCCAACCTATTGAAGAGTAGGGCAGAAAAAGCTCAAAACCATGACAATTTAAGAATTTCTAATAGATTTGGTTATTTACCCGATCGGCATACATTAAAATGTTTGCCACCCGATGTCCTGGTTGATAGTTTAATTATAACCAAGCAGCAGCCGCTTGTCGGCAAACATTTCAATGAATTTTAATATGTCGAGGAGGCACATTAGTCAATCTAAAAGCAATGATTCAATTTTATTGAAACTTCTTGCTAATAATCAGCAGATACAAATATTATCGAAAACAGAAAGAAATATTGAAACAGATTTTTCTCAGAAGAAGGTGTGAAAGACTTTTTTGTGTGCATCATTTTCAACTAAATGTGACAATTTGTTGTCCTTTTGTCTTCTCTTGCTCGATTTTACAGTATGAGCGCAAGCAGAGGTGTTTTGTGAAGTGGAATAGGCAGAATAAGGTGGAAAAAGTTAAGATCCTAGTCATCCTAATTAGAAAACGTTAAGTTCAAGAACCTTATCTTTGAATCTTCCTTATTAAAATTAATTTAAAATTTTTTGAACTATAAATTGTGCGTGTGTGTGAAGCTGGCGGGAACAGGTTCTCAGATCAAGTTGAAACTTTGTCAGAATCACGTCTTTATTACGTCCATTTACGTCCCGTAATTAAATATTTTGGTCCTACTTCCTATGACTGGATATACCACTTTTAATATTTGGGTATCTTTGCTTGGGAGCATTCAAGTTATTAAACACAACTTCCCTAAACAATTTGACATTCTCATGACTCAAATGCGCTTTATCCCAATCCCATTCTACTTCTCACAAAATATTTCCATTCTTTACTCTTTTAATCAAGAATAAAGAATCGAAAATGTTGTTTATATTGAAACAAGCCACAACTATTCATCATATTAAGTTTAACATTCTTTTAATTTATATGTGCGAAACTAGATCTCATTCTGCTTCTGCTATACGTTCACATATGCGGCACACTCAGCAGAGTTCGATGCAATCGAGCAATAAAAATGGAAAAAAAAAGATGCTGGCAAGAACACAGCCCGAGAGTGAGATAAAGAAAATGCCATGGAACTTTCGCGATATGAAAAAAAAATATTTCAGACCTTGATGCTAAAGCGAAAATTATAGTTCGTAGTGAAATGATTGAAAGTGAATGAATTGAATGTGCTGGATGTAAACAATGTATATGTTCGTTTAGATATTGGATACATATGATGATTAATTTAACTATTTGTTATTTCAATAATGGCAATTATTAATCGATACATGCTTTTTTTACGTAAGAATAATTGAATGATTACTATCAATGGCTGTAATTAAATTGCTACAATCTTCTATATTCTTGTTGACGTCGTTATAATTCTTACAAAATGCTTTTTTTCTGTAATTATAGTTATTTGATGTAAAATATCAGCGATAGCAACCAGTCATTTAGTTGTGCAAGTTATCATGCAGCTGATATGGGGTCGTTCACTAATGACGTCCAATATTAACGGATATTTTTCAAAAAAGAACAATGGATTTCCAGGAATTTCAATTGTTCTGTTCTTGCTGACCCACTCCCCCCCCCTCCATGGACGGCATTGGTGAACAGCCCCTAAAGAGTTTGAAGCATATTTAAATCAGCTATTAAAAGATTAGATATGGAAGTGTTAAAAATATAGTATTTACGGATTTTTGCTAAGCTATTGCATAAAAAAGGGATACTTGTGCTTGCTTTTGACGTCCTTAGTCAACTTTATGGTTTAAAACTAGTAAATACTAAGTAGGTTGTGATCTTTCAATGAAAGAAGTCTGTTTTTATTCTTTGGCACTTCAAACAACTTCCAAAATCCACATTCACAAAGCTTCAATCTGCAAAAGATCACCGACACCACCTCATCGGTCATTTATCAATAAAAGTTCAAACAAAAGAAGAAGAAAAACTCTTCCAATTTTATTGATTTATGTTCAACAATACAATCACTGCAAAGGTCAATCGCTATTGTTAATTCTCGTCTATTTTACGTGTTGCCTTTTTTCTTATTTCTCTTATTTTCCTTTCATTTCAATTCTGATCGCATGCGAGATGATGCTTGTGGTGCAATATGTTATTACTACTCATGTGAATGTTTGTTGTTGCTGTTAATTTTTTATTTTTAACTTTTGTTTTCAATACAATCGATTTTTAATTTAATAAGCATTCGCGTACGTGAGAAATGGTTAAAGATGAAGAAGAAATGCGTTTTAATAAGGAGACAAATTAACATGATAATTTGGAGGGAA